CACACACACACACACACACACACACACACACACACACACACACACACAGGCACACATGAGAGTCCAGTAGGAGAAGTCTGGGCCCCCTCCAGCTGGCAACAGGAATCCATGACTCTAATAACCGGGTGGCTTTTCAACTACAGGGAACAGCGGAGCTTTTTCCCCAAAGGAGCCAGATTGGCGGAAAATGAGTAATTATGGGCTCAGAGATTGAATGAATGATTACAGCTCTGCAGTCTTTTAAGTAATATTCCGATTTAGTTTTCTAAGAAATGTGAACGAGAACTAAAATAGTCCAGATTGACTCATCATCAATAAGCAGAGGGAGGGAGTTTTTTTTGAATCCATCAGTTAAAGAATGCTGCTCAGTTAGAGGAGAATGATGCAACTGAGTGTTTGATTCAAGGCCAGGTTTCTCTCTATTTTCTGTCAGGGAAACAATAACCGTTTTCATCGCCCCTTAATCCCTATTGTATTTTTGTTGGTCTGTGCTGATTTCTCTGGGAGAATCCCGCTCTATAAAGCTGATGAGATGGAACTGGAGGGATGTGCTGGAGTAGAAAAGCGCTTTTAGTCACACGGCAATAACATGTTAGCTTTTTTTTTTACTAAATGCAACTATTCCGCAAAAAGCTACAGTGAGTGTAAACAATGAAACGTGGTTTCATGTGTCGGTGCGAAGCTATTTTCCCAAGCTATTTAACTCTAAAATATAAGTTCAAGTATTTTTAAACCTCAGGTTGATAAAATGAAAAGTATATTTCTATGTCAGAAATGATTGTACAGTGTTTGACACAACAGGCGCCGAGTTGTGCTCCATATATATCTGAAAAGCAAGCAATAACCACATGAATGGCATCAACTATTGTAAACTCTTGGCACCGAGAGAATAAAGAACACAGAGAAAAGACTGATGATTAGAGGAGAGGAGAGGAGAGGAGAAAGAATGCAGAATGCGTCTTTGTCTTCAATGACGGCTCGGGGATTTGAGAAATAACGTGTGCTGAGAGATGCTGGCTCTCAGGAGAGCGAGAGGGGGCTGGGGATTTATTAAGGTTCAGCCATGAAGCCCTGTTAGGGACCGCGGTAACAGACAGTGTGTGTGTATATGTGTGTGTACACACATATACGCACACAGGCTCGACAGCTGTGTTTGGACAGAGCACCCTTGTGTGTGACCTTCTTTGCAGAGCTCCGACTAAGAGAATCACTTTTCCCTCCCCGCCCACGAGTACATACGACATCCACCTACTTCCTGTTAGCTGGGAGGTTCAGATTTCATCAAGTCTCAGGTGAAGCCGGATCGTGTTTCCTGAAGGATCTGGGTCACTTGTTAACTTCCCTGTTCTACAGATCGGCCCAGAGGTAACGCCAAAGTCTGAGTGATTCGCCACATGGGAGCGCGTCTCATGTCTCACACTCTTTTTCATACTGTCAGACATTAATGATAAAGTCACAATACATTGGACTGGTTTGGCAGTATTAAGACACCGTGAAAGTGCTCCTCCAGAAAACAATGAGTCCAGCTATTTTTCTTTCATACTTCGACCCGTATTATAGCGGCACGTCATAAATCGCTGCAGTATAAAAGTTTTAAGCACAAAGGAGCTTTGTGTTGTTCTGCTAGCATTTCGCAGATAGCTTAAGCGGCCCAGTGGCTAGAAAGGTTTAGCGTCTCGTCTGCAGGTGTCTTGTCTGCCTGTCTGGCTGTTTTTCTGTTTCCAGATGTCTCCAGCGGGAAAATCCAATAAGTCAAAACACCTGCCTTCATATAGTTTGTGCAATGCAAAGGAATGACGAATGTAAATTCAAAGGCCCTACATTTTACTCATTCGGCTTCTTAAGCAAAAACACATGTGAGGTTTTGACTGGTTTGAAGTGGGCGGGGCTTAGTTGGAAGAAGGTGATGTCTGAGCACCAATCAGGATTTGGCAGTATTTTTGTCAAAATATCTGTGAGGTGTGGGGTTGTTTACCAGGCAACTGTCAATCAAATCTGATCGAGCCATGCCCACAAGGTCCTGATGGAGCTGATGAAGTATGAAGTATTTAAGAGTTCATGTCAAGAGTCAGAATGAAATGATAAAGGCTTTTTATCTCTTTCAGATCACATCCCAGGTCATACTGTGCACCTATTAAACAATATATACAAAAAATAATAATTCATATTTAGTATTTTATATATATTATATCAAAATCCAATAATCTTTTTGTCCTGTAAAACAAAATGTGAAGTGTGCTTACATAAGCTAGTGCAGACTAATTTCCACCAGTAACAGAATGACATCCATGCGTCAATCAATCTGTAGCTCCCTATTACTCTACATTCTAAGCCCGCCCACTTTTTTAGCGGTACAATCAAACCCAAAGGATTTGTTTTAAATCCCTCTTGTAAGTGTACACCGCTGAAATATTCTGTTTCACTGAAGAATACGTCACAAGACGCTCTAACCTCAGGGCTTCAACCTGCAATAACTGATTTGTTGGCCACTTTGGGCTATCTCAAACAAACTATATGTCCAAATTGGGTAGAAAACAGTTGCTTCTTTACATTATTATGTGTTGGTGTCCGTCTGATGAATGTCCAAAGTCCAATATGTACTCTATTTTTATATCTGTTTGGCTGCTCACCACTGACATGGTGGTTCTTTAGCTGCTAGATTCAGTCACTTCACTTTGTCGGTCAGCAGTTTGGTGCAGAGCAGGTAGTCTACGGGGGTTTTTAGAGCTTGTTGAAAACAGCTACCTGCTGCAGCTAAAAAAATACCCTGAGAGCAGCAAGAGTGAACCAATGCAGTAAAGTTGTGAGCCAGGGAACCAAAACAATGGGCTGAAAGATGCTAAAATACTCTGTAAAGCTGAGGGGAGCTGCAGGAGTCACTAAGAACAACCTGTTTCCCACGTAGTAGTCATGTGATCATCCACTGTTACTGTTGATTTAAACCATTTGTCATGAATAAACCTATAGATGGGAGGGGAAGCCGGTGATCATGCCTGTTTTCTCATATAGTGACGGATGTGAGTGCTTTCCCAGCAGGCCCTTTATGGTCTCAGAAGTCACTGAACAGACACTGTTGTTGACAAAGCACCAGACGAAGAGACGGAAAGTAATCTCACTGCCAAATCTCAAAAGCAGGGATACACCTTCTCTTTATTGTTTTTCATAACAGCCATTCGAGGGAGAACAAAGTCATTGCTTTGGCAGCAGACAAGTCCTGAACTTTGTTTTGAGTTCAAAGTCAGTCATCACCAAATGTAATGCTATTTTATAAATTTAAATACAAAAGGAATTTGAATAGTAACAATTAAATGAATGATAAAATAAACAAGATAAAAGCCTAAGGGCGACCAAAATTGCTTTGAGAAGCGACCTAGAAATAACATTTTTTTAACATCAACCCTTTTCCCAGGGCCCAATGTTTAGTTTCCAAGCTAAAAATATTCATGCACACCATAATAATAAGTAATTCATATCTAAAATCTTTTACAGTGTATTTCCCTGAAGTAATGTTTAAGTAAGAATTGTAATTTTGCAGCATAATTAATGATACCATAATGTTTTATGGCACTTTGGGCACCTTTACCACATTTATTTCCAGTTTCCCTGTGTTGTTACCCAACAACAATAATCCCACTGTTCAAATGGCAAATAGGTGCATTGTCAGATGTTGGCGTTCCATTCGGAGGGTCGTCAAGGACGGACAACAGACTTTCAGGCACAATAGGGACGACGAACACAAATGGCCAAAGAGGAGTTCTGTTGTAGGCAAAGCGCACACACGCACGCACGCACACACACACACACACACACACACACACACACACACACACACACACACACACACGTTGTCAAAAACACTCCCTCTATCTTTATGGCTCAGGCCAAGGACCAAAGAGCTTTCTGCATCGGGAAGATGTTCCTTTCTTTTCCGCAGTACCACAACCACAGATAGTCACTCTGTAGTTTATGGTCAGTGGACGCCCATACATATGCATGTGTTCACAGCTCAGTTGTTGTCAGGTCTTTGTCAGGAGTCTCTGGTCTTTCTTGGCTGGCATTTTGAAATAAATAGTTTTTCACTCTTATATGTAAACTTAGATTCTAATCCTCTCAGTCTTTACTGAGAATAGTTGCAGCATGAGTATCAGCTTCTGCAGAGCGCTACACTCACACGTCCATCTCTTTGGGCTCTCTGTTTAGACAGGTTGGTTCTGCGTGAACTGGTGTGACCTCTCCAGCAAGCGAGTTGCACCAAACCATACCAGAGGGCGCCTGTCTCCGTCTTCCAAAAGCCCCAACACAATGAAAAAGTTTACAGCTCCCTTCTTGGCCTCATTACTCCTCCTCTTCTCACAGGCTCTCCGTGCTTTAGTGCTGCTCTCTGCTTGATAGAAAACACATTTCTCTCCTCGGCGCTACTGCCGTGTTGGCAGTAAGTCAGTCTCGGCATCAGGAATCGGTGTCTTGCAGTGTGGCAGCGGGGAGGATAAAGAGTGACCCGGCGATGGCGCTCTCTCTCATCGGGACATTAAGTTTTATTGCAGTTGAACTTCTTTCTTGCCTCGCTTCCGCTCAGCTTCATCCTCCTCCTGCTGAAAGTTTAAGCTGTTTAGCAGCCACAGTAACAAGTGGGAAACAGCTTGAGTGAATTTGACAATAACCTCCCTTTCCTTCTGAGGTGGGGTTCCATGAAAAGAAAGAAAGTTTAAAGACCGAACGGAGAAAAGGGAGTAAAACAGTATCTTAACTGTGAAAAACATATATGACAAGGAAGGATTTCACCTCCCCCCTGTTGTTCAGTTGACTGACAGGCCTGCAGGTGTTGGGGGAGGGGTCCGGGGCGGCTCGGCCTGTTTGCTTGGCCTGTCCCCAATTTCCTCCGCCACTCACTGAGACATCCCTGGTGTTTTTAATACAGGTTTCAGACAACCTCACCCTTTCTTCCCATTGTTTCTAGCTGAGGAATAGACGTAATAAAAGTTACAGGCTATACTTTCACTCAAACAGCATTATTTATCCCAAATATCTCCTGCTTTTGTAATTGTAATTGCAAACAGTTCTCATTTGTTTTGTCCATCACCGAGTCTTTTTTTTTTATCTTACATTTAATTGCAGTTTCACTTTGTGTGAGAATTTTACAAACAGTGATTGTCCAATCACAGCTTGAAAGCTGTATTGAGAGCGATAGCCTGCTAAGTATTGCAAGAGCTTTTAGCCTTCACGAAACTATATAGCCATCTGCTCTGACGTGATTGTCCGGCTAACTAGCTTACTGCAGTAGCCTAGCATTATTTTCTAAAAAGCACAGAGTAGTTTCAGGTTATTATATTGGGTCTTTTTTGGATTCGAGGAAGTTAGCACTGCAGCAAAACTCTCTATCCAAGATGTTGTTACACTTGCCTACACGCTGATCAATCCTCCTCCTAACAGCCTTTTCTCAACTAATGAAGCTAACCTTAGCTTAGTTAGCTTGGTAGCTCGAGCTGATCCAATCTGCTAGCGACAGTTATCATTTCAGGTGGCAAAAGTTTAGTTCATACATGGACATTATAAAATGATTAAGACTTTACTTTTTACAGTTATAGCCAATGTCAGAAAATCTTTATTGATATAGAGTATTGAGCATAGTAATACATCTATCTGCCATGAGCTTTTCAGACATAATGTTATCCTGCACACCATCACCAGGTCACCTTTTATTCCCCTACAGCTGAAGGCCTGTCTTTCATCTTGTAGAGCAGCAACAGCATGTCTGCAAACATCCAGTAAAATTCCCTGAACAAAAGCTGCATCTGTTGAAAGGCACAAGGACTCGGGATTCCTCTTTGTCGCTGCTAAATCTAATTTACAGACTCATAACGCCGACCTTATGGCTTATTTTCATTGTATGATGTTTTCTGTGGGAGCTCACACACGCAGAGGCTCCTGTGCTCCTGTATTGACTGTATGTCTGAGCAGCTTCTTGTAAAAATTGAACACGGCTGCTTTACTGGGAGACTGGGCGGGCTCTGTGTTCTTTCCCCTCAAATTGGGTGGGTTTGTGCTTCTGCCCCTTTGTGGAGGTTTGACCTCCTCTCATTGTGAAGTCGGGGAAAACAGGTGTCAGCTTGTCGAACGTCAACGAAACAAAACAGTGTGCAAAGTTCTATCTTTCATTTTGACTTTAGACATAACACAAAAGTATTCCTCTCTATTTATTGAAATATTTTATATATAACTGTGCATAGTCAGAAAACTGAAAGACTCCACTCCACTGAAATACTGCTCTGAAAGGCTAACATCAACCCTCTTCATTTCTGACCCTGTGTGGTGTAGTGTGGTGGGAGAGCGCCCCCCTCAGGACTGAAACAAAGTCTGTGAAAGTGGAGGCTGCTGTCTTTGTGTGTGTGTGTGTGTGTGTGTGTGTGTGTGTGTGTGTGTGTGTGTCGTTGAGTTACCTTGGATGTCATCGTTGAATGTGCAGTACTTGTTGCGGTACTTGCTCAGCAGCCTGAAAGCATTAACATTTGCAAAGTCCTCGAATTGAATCAGACAGTCCATTCCATACCTGAAGAAAAGGAGAAATAAAATGAAAGAAGTATAAAAATAAAAAGAAATATAACCTTTATTGGTGAATGGTCATTTAATAGGCTTTTGCACACACACACACACACACACACACACACACACACACACACACACAC